ATCAAAATCAAAGAATCCCTAATATTGCTTTAAAAACCTCTTTTGAAGAAAAATGCTCTGCTTTTTGAATTATTCTATTCCCTCAACCTCTTATTACAACCAAACCTGAATGAAAAGAATATCAATAATTCAACAAATAGGAATGGTTTGATCTCTCTAAAAATGAACTAAAAAACACCTGTTCGACTAAAATTCAAGGGAAAACTCCTGGTCCAAATAATATTACTCAAGAAATCATTATAAGAGTATATAAAGCTATTCCACAAACCTTCTTTATTTTATATAGCAAGCTTCTTAATATTGGATACCACCTACAATACTGGAAACAAGCCACTGGAGCAATCCTAAAAAAAGCTTCGAAACCAGATTATTCAATATCAAAAGCATATAGGGTTATTACACTTCTCAATTACTTAGGAAAAGTAAGCGAAAGGATTCTAGCTCAATGATTAGGATATCTAGCGGAAACTACCCATCTCTTACATTATAGCCAAATGAAAAGACAACAAAAGAAATCGGCAATTGATACAGCTCTCCTTTTGAATATAGAGATTGAAAGCAATAAGCGAGCTAATAATAAGACTTCGGTTTTATTTATAGATATAAAAGAAGCATTTGATTATATTTCAAAAAATCGATTATTAGATATCTGCAAGAAACTGAGACTATCAATCAATCTTATCTCCTGGATAACTTCATTTCTTTAACAAAAACAACTAAAACTATCTTTTAATAATCAAATCGAATCTTTCAAACCAATTTCGACCGGAATACCACAAGGCAGCCCTATCTCGCCAATCCTCTTCTTGATTTATATTAGAGATCTTTTCCAAAACAATTCAATCAAATTCCTTTCATATATTGACGATATCGCTCTTATCACTAAGTCATCTACTTGAAGAAAGAATGTTAATTCGTTAGAAAAAGCTACAAAACAATTATACAAACTCAGCTCAAAGAATGCAATCCAATTCGATTTAGTTAAAACAGAGCTAATACATTTTTCCTCTTCCAAATTAATAGTTTAATATCCTATTACTTTACCCAATTCGGAAACAGTAATACTCCAATCTCTAATTAGATAGCTTAGTATCTGGTTCGATCCGAATCTCAAATTCGATCAACACGTCAATATCAGAGTAGCATAAACAAAAAGAGCTTTTCAATGAATGGCTTGCTTAGTTAATACAGAAAAAGGCCTTAGTTCTAAGGCTATGAGATAGTTATATATAGCTTGTATAACTAGTATTGCTAACTACGAATTGGAAGTTTGGTGGAAAGGCCAAATCAAATTTAAGGATACGCTTCAATTACTTCAAAATCTAGTTTTTCGAAAGATATTTGGAATCTTCAAAACCGTTTCAATCCTTTCAATGGAAATCGAAGTAGGATTAAAGCCAGTAAAAATCCGTTTAGACTCAAATATAAAACGATATGCCTTTCGATTAATGAAATTATTATTAAATCATTCAATCAATATTGAAAAAGAAGTGCTATCTCAATATAAATCGGATCTAGAAGTAATGGCTATCCCTCGAAGGAAATGTTATAAGTCACTTCAATTAGATAAAATAAGAGAATCTATAGAATAAGATTTCAATCCATTTATTCTCGAAAAGATTACTCATTTCAACTTCTCTCCCTGGAAAAGAGATACACCTTACAAAGTCAATATTAGTAAAGCCTCGAAAGAAGATACAGCTACTCTTTACAATATTATATTTAAATATAAAGATCAAAATACAGTTTATATATATACTAATACATCTTCTATCAAAAAAGGAATTGGAATAGGAATAGGGATAATTGCAATACAATCAAATAAATCAATCTCTTATCGAAAACATTCGAATATTGATATCAATCAATTAATATATAATGAAGAATTATTGGAAGTTACAAAAGCTATCGAATATACTAGTACTGTAGCATATAAAGGACAGAAATTCAAGATCTATTCGGATAACCAAGCTGAACTCTATTATCTAAAAACCCCCTCCGATCACCCCGGGCAAGTTTACCAAATACAAGCAATCAAGGCAGTAGAGGATATTAGAGCAAAAGGAACTGAAGTCTCTTTAAATTGGGTTCCAGGTCACATTTCGATATAAGGAAATGAAATGACTGATAAATTAGCGAAAGAAGCAACTTCAATATAAGCCACTTCAAGCGAAACCAGTATAGAACTATTTGGTATAATAATAAAAAAACACGACTCCGATCAATGACTAGAGACTCTCAATCAATACAAATCCAGATCAAATCAATCAGATATAATCTATTCGAAACTCTTCCTATAGAAAATCAGCTCCAAAATCAAGCTATCTCTTGGAGGTTAGCTTTTATAATAATAAGGAATAGTATTATTATAATGATAGTGGAAGATCTAGTCAGTTTAAGCTTGAGGGATAAATCGAATATATAGAATAAGAGTTGAATTGAAGTCAATTTAGAAGAGCTAGGCTGAGTTGAGATGAATTGCTTGCTTTTTCCTAGATTTTCTTTAAAGAATATTCTAGGTTTATATAGTTTATAATGAAATTCTAGTATATTCTATGCTTATAAATAAGATCGATTTAAATCGTATCTTATAGAATCATTTTAGATAATAAAAAGAAAGTACAACCAATCAATTTAGCGATATTTCCTGTATACTTCCATCTAGTTCCATTTCATTCTATTCCATTATAAATCAATTTGATAAGAGATACTATTATACAACTATATGATAATATGATTTTATAATATAAGATCATATTATATGTGTATTAGTCATCAAGATATCTCTTATTTAGTAAGATATTAATAAGTGATTTAGTGGACTTATTATGAATCCTCACACTATCAGAAGATACTAAGCGAAATATTATTAGCGTCTTTTTTCAACTCAAAATCGGCTACAATTATATTAAGTCTTATTTATATCGATTCAAACTTTCAAACAATAAGTGTATCTGCAACAATATCGAAACAGCTATACATCTCCTTATTGGTTGCCTAATATATAGAAAAGAAAGAAAGGAAATCTTCAAAGAAATACTAATCTCGAAATCAATCTACAATTTCTGCTATATATGAAAATAGGTATCGAATTAGTAATCAAATTTATCAATACTACCAAAATCGCTACTCGAACTTGGCACCTATCAAGAGCCGAGATACAAAACGAAATTGTGGAAGAAGAAGAGACAATAAGAGAAGGAGAGAGAGCCATTTTGGAAATAGAAAGAGAAGAAAAAGAATAAAAGAAAAGATAGAAAAGAAAGGGTTTAACCCTCTCTACTCTATATCTTACTATACGCACTTCGTATAGTAAGCGGGAACGAGTCCCCAGTATTAGTTTTCACTTACCCTATTGTTAAAATTCCTAATTTTGTACTTTAAAAGTTATCCGCTAGACCATTTGGCCTAGCCGTCCTATATAGTCATAGACTGAAGGTGGACGTTAATTAAATCAATCAATCAATCAACCAAATTGACCAAATTAACCATTTTAAGAAAAACCATATGAGGTAACAGATAAGCTGGAGGTCTGTTCATATGAGATTGGATTTGGGTCGTTTATTATATTAAAAAGGTAACCCTACGATCCGAAGATAACGAATCCAAAGCAACCCATTAGTGTATACACAAAAGGGATTTCACGAAAACAGATCGAATTCGTACTATTATATCTCTTTATAGTGGATTGGATTTCACCTAATATAGGCAAGGAGAATAGGATTCAGATAAAAGAATACTCTTGTACTGCGATACGATATTAGATTGTAGGGTTATCGAATTCCACTGGAGATGTAAATACCATAGGTAATACTGAAGTGTTGGTATTGTTACAGGAATTAATAAGGCTTTTACAAATATATATATATATAGAGTTTATATGATTTAGATAATAGATTCCTATTATAGGGGGAATGTTGGAAATCACATATATAATACATATATAGCATATGTATATTACTATAAAACTCCTTTTTCGAACTTTCCGGATATATAGATCTAATATATATATTTCAATATATCACTCCTTATACATAACTTACTATCTATTTCTAACAAGATTATATACAAAATAATATTTTATAATTTGAATTTCAAATAAATAAATAAATTCCATTATGTTTAGGTATTATATTATAAGATATCAAAGCCTTATCAAGTATTTGAAGTTCTTTATAATTAGTTTTATATCTAAATAAATTATATTTTGAGATTAATATAATAGGAATAATACGGCTTCACCCTAGCTATTTGTTTTAATGGTAGCTTATAATTTAAGCTTGATTAGACTAGATCAAACCACTACTTATCAAATGCTTTAGGTGTAGTGAATTAGCAAATATCGCCAAAGTTTAAGGTGTCAGTAAAGAATTGCAAATAAAGAAATTATACAATATTATCAAACTTGTCCAGAAAAGAGATATTCTATATAATTATCGAAATTCTAACTAAATTGAATTTTCTCTTAATTTGGTTCAATACTACTTTTCCTATAAAGAATCACAAAATAAATGAAATGAAAAGATACAGGCCATCAGACTATCAAGCTATCATGAAACCACTTTTGTAATAAAAATAACTCTTTACTTTTCTATAGAAATCCACCACAAAAATTCACAAGCATTATCATCAAGATATAAACCAATCTCTTTCTTATCTGAATTTCATTGTCAAAAAGAAGAAAATATTATTTTGCCATATAATTAAAGTTTTTTGGATTCTTCAAGATAATAGAATAAAGAAAATAAGAAGAAACTTTATTTTAATCTTAGCGTTCAAAATAAACAAACAAAGTGAGCTAGAGAAATGAGATAATGGAATTTATATAAGGATTGAAAAGTATATAAACCTTTATCATTATTCCCTCAAATTCGATTATTATATTATTAATATATTCATTTATACTCATTTTATAAATAAATCAAACATATTTATTTATTATTTGTTTTCAAATTCATTCACTTTTTTTAAAGAAAAATTACTTTTTTATTATTATCAAAATGAAATTCTCAGTTATTACTCTTCTTGTTTATACAGTTATTGTACAATCTACCATTCTTCTAGAAACAGTTATAACTTTAGCCGATATTCCAATTTCCATTACTCTCAATAGTATTGTTTCTAATTCTAGCGAATTTCATTTTAATGGAAAATTTGATACTTCCGGAATATTGGTTGTATAAATGGATAATAAATCCATACAAGCTTTTTAGAAGTATATTAGAATATTGATAAAAGTGATTGGAATGGCTATTATAAAGGGTATTCAATTTTTAACCAAAATAGCTATTAAGTATGATAACGATATTATTAAAAATCTTAAAGAATGGAATCAAATAAGTTGCTTTATAAATATAGTATCCTCAAAAAGCTTTTGATATATAAAATAATACTAATAATATTTTCTAGGCCCATAAGGAATTTTCTTAAGTAACTATTTGCGATATATAGACTAGAAATCCAGATTATAGGAAATACCCTGTTACTATTTGTTACAACAAGAGATATAATATTAAGAATCCTACTAAAATCATCAGAAAAGTCAATACTAAACTTTCTTTTGGTTTTTTTTATATCAATTATGATTATATATATATAACTAGAAATAATCAATTCTATACTCATACTGAGAATGGATTTATTAATATAAGAAATCGTTTTTATCTAATAGAAAATAATACTAATATCTTGCTAGCTTTTCTATACATATAACAAACGCTATAATCATGATAGAAATACTGGTGATTTGATCTGCAACTAGAGAGCTTTAAAGTATCTACTTTTTGATATAGCAATTAGAAAAGGATCAATCAAAAATATGTTTCAGTATAGGCCTGTCATCAAATATGTATACTAAGTGGCCACCTAATCCCTTGTTTTATTTCATATCTCTATTAATATTAGGCTTATAAATTATTCAATCTTTATAACCCTAAAAACTTTTGTAGTACTAGTATCTAATTAATTAAATTGAGATTTTTTCCAGATTCTACGAGTTTATACATACTATCTTCGATTTACTATTCAAAATAATATTTCAATAAGTTAATATAATGATTCGGTTCTTTTCAAATCCCTTAATCATCTAGCTTCTAGAACCTTAGTCTAGCATATAACTCATTGGTATATATACTCTGGAGCTCTTACAATTCTCTTCTTATTCTTTTCTTCCTTCTTTAATCTTAGATTCTAAGATAGAATTGAATCCTTTTATAATAGTTCTTTACAATTGATATACTATAGAAATTTCTTCATTAACTAGCTAGCTCGCTATAACTACAATAAAGATATAAGAATATCTTTATATTTAGCAAGAAGGCACTATAAAATGAATCACTATAAAGTGAATTACTATAAAGTGAATTGTCAATTTTTAGTAGTAAAGTTTAAATATCATTTATATACTAAAATATATTTTTGATTTAAATAGTTGACAAACCTATTAGTTTTGTTTTGATATTAATTATAATTATCTTAAAAAACTTAATTGAATTACAATATTATATATCATTGAGATCTAAATATATAAATAAGTATGTAGTCTATAATTATATACAAATGAATTTTGTATATACAATAAGTGATATACTCGTTTTAAACCACGCTAATATAAAATCATATTATTTAATTTTCTTTTTTAAGATCTTGAATTATTCCTTTTGGAACTGTATAGCCTATAATAAAAAAGCAAGCTTCAGGGATAGTAATAATAGTATGTTCCTAGCATAGAAGTAAGATAGATCAATTCTTAATACTAAAGAGTAATAAACTATTATATAAAGAGAGGATCTAAAAGCGCTTTTATGAGTCCTATCCAGGTGAATAGATCAAAGACAAGCGAGAATGTTTTATTCTATCTGGTGGGGTAAAAGGATGATTAATCAAGCATTAAGACCCACCAATAGGTGCATGGATTGACGGGACACTTCCCCAACTTTTGAAATTCTTAATAAATTCATTCTTCAATTGTTTGATATTAAAATTTACATTCTAATTGTTTCATTTCTAATAAACAATTGTTAAATTCTTAAGATATAGGATTTTATATATTAAGAGATATTCACAAATCAACTTTTGCAATGTCCCGTCAGTCCGTACACCCATTGGTGGCCGGTTTGTCATACAATTCTAATTAAAGATTCGAATTCCTAACTCGAAGCTACTATAAATGTTGTTTGAATGTTTGAAGGAAAAAAAAGATATTAAATAACTCTATAATAATACTAACTTTATGAAATAATATTCTATAATAACCCAAATTAGTGGGGACTGATTCCTCTGCCGGAAAAATGATGGTTCACGGAATCACTAGTTCGGTATAAGAAATAGATTATTTCTATTATACTCTTTCTTTTATTAATCCTTTTATTATCCTTACTGCTCTTTCTTCTATTATTTCTTCTTTCTATCCTTTTTCAACTTATCACTTAAATCTTTCTAACATTAGTATTCTTAAGAACATTAGTCTTAATAGTTCCAATATCAGTAATAGGAGCAAGAGACATTCCCTTAGTAGCTATCAAAACATCAATATTTGAATCAGCAAAAGATCCAGATGATATAAGGCTATTAGCTTGATAATTACGGCTAAGGGCCGAAGTATATCCTATAATACTACTACTTGAAGATTAAAGAGGATTATTAAGAATATCGAAGATAATAGGTATATTTGCTTTCTCGAAAATGTTGCCCTTAATAAGTACTTTTGCTTTTTCACTAATTTGGAATGTATTTTCTGTGATATTTGATTAATAGTTGTTAATAGCTTGAAGAAAGATATTTAATTTGACTAATGAATATAAGCCTTCAACCTTGGATTTACAATTACTTGTATTGTGGATATAGTTATCTTTAAAAGTAATAGAATCTTAGGATCCAGTGAAGTATAATATTCAGTAATAATGATTATTGCATTTAGCAAATCAAAAAATAAAACTATCGAATTCAGAGTTGGTAATGGAGATATGGTTAGAAGCATTTAGATTTATAATAATAAATTGACAATCAATTCTGGAGATCTTGATATAATCGATCTACAAAAGATCTGTATTATTAATGGAGATAGTATCTCCATTTCAAATATACTTGGGGTTCATCTCAATAAACTCAATGTTCTGGATAATGATATTCTTAGCATCTGCAATATAGAAACCTCTACCCTTAATCTTTTTAGTAGATCCAATTTCAATAATGGATTTGTTAGAATTAAGCTTGATAGTATTTGGAGGAATACCGGCGATATTATAAATGATAATTAGCTTGGTAAGAGCTTGATTAGCATTTGCAGCTTATTCACACCAGCCATTGATATCGACTGAATCCTGACCGGCATTATTGGTGTATGTGTTGGATAGGGGTGTGCAACCTTTTTCGGTTTTTGATTTTATATTATCTGTGAAATCCTAGGTTTTGTTAAGGATAATGGTATGGGCAACACTATCGGAGAGCCAGTTGACAAGTTCGTTGAGATCTTTTGGAAATGCAGTAGCAGTAGTTCTATTATTAGTAGCTGTAGTAGCGAAACCTTTAGTTTTGCTAATAACTTTTGTGGCATTAATTGTAATAATAGAGAATAAAAGGATAGTGAGGGTCTTGACTAAAACTATAGTGATTAATATACTTAATTATAAGCTATATTATGAAAACAAATGGATAAGTAGATAAATGGATGAGTAAATGAGTAAATGAGTAAATGAAAGAATAAATGAATAAGTGAATAAGTGAATAAATGAATAAGTGAATGAGTGAATAAGTAAATGAGTAGATGAGTAGATAATATTCGAAAACCTTAAGACTTTTCATGTTCTTATATATTATTGATCTATCTAACTATATTATTTAGAATCCTATTAAGAATTGGACATTCTGCCCTCCAATATCTTCATTCCGTAAAGTATTATCTTGATACGAAAAAAAAGAATACCCAAAAACTATGCTCTTAGCGAATAATCATTCTGTTCACTATAAATAATATACTTGGATTTCTTAAAGTCTTGATGAATGAATAAGTTGTCCTTAGAATGTTTGGCTATATTATTCATTTTGCTATTCAAAACTTCAATATATATTCCAGTTTATAAATCTTAGCCTATTAAAGGAATACTTTAGATTTCTTAGCAATAGAATTGTTTGTATATCTAATTATAGTAAAGTATATTCGAAATCATATATTTATATCAATTAATCTCTGTAAATATTTAATAATCAAGTAAGATCCTTGAATATATTTATAATAAACAGATTGTCCTATAATCTTTATTGATTTAATTTTTATTATTTATTAATTCTAGATGAACTAAGTAATATTTTCGAATATATTTATTTAGATAATAGTTTATACTTTTGAGGGGTTTTGAGTGTATAAGATTTTTTAATTTAATAAGATTAGCTAACTACAAATACCTATAAAAAGAATGATTGTGCGATGATTAAGGTTTCTCAATTCTAATTCTAATTATTCTTATATTTAAGATATTTAAGGTTATTATATAGAAAAGCTTAATGAGAAAAGCTAACTCTAATCGTACTCGAGTTGCGATCACTAAACATTCCGCTGCTTTGTGTTTATCTTGAGACCCTTATTAGTAAGCTTTAGATTTTAAACTTATTTAATTTCAGGATATCAAGTTAAAGGGAGAGTTCCATTGTTATATAATTTATATACAATAAATAGCGTTGTAGGTAATATTCATTTATTGTTTTTCATTCTGTAATAATATTCCGAAAATCAAACGAATATTTGAGATAATTGAATCTAATGATTGTATGTCGAGGGTATATACTTATCTGTGTTTCGATAATGATTATATAACTTGATTAGCTATAATATATCAAACTTATTAAAAACGTATCTAATCTATAATATAAAATATATACTATAATTGATTTCTATTGAAGCACGTATCAAACTGACCGCCTACCATTTCTAAAAAACGGTAAAACACGAGGACAGTTATATATCTTATTGATTAAACATTTTCTTTTAATCAATTAAAACAATATTCAAAATAATATTATTGAACTCTGAATCATTTTGAATCAGGACTTTATATTCGAATCAGAATTAAATAACCTTTTGGATTGAGAGATCTGTATATTAGATTTTGTGAACTTATAGTTTTGATGAGAAAAGCTTATCTCAACCTTATATTGATCCAAGCAATCAAATATATATTGATTACAAATATCAAATATAGCTTCTATCGGGATATCGATTATGTGATCAAAAGAGGGCATTATATTGCATTAGTATATATACTAGCGCTAGTATTTCTACTATATTAAATACTAGCTTCCCATAAATAATAATGATTAAGAACGAATATAACCATAATAGACTAAAGTACTTATACTTATCAACCAAGTTGATATCAACAGCTTCAAATACTTCATTTTTAAAACAAAAAAAAAACAATATACAATCAAGATTAAGCATATATCTAACTAAACAACTATTTGTATATATATAGATAATGCAATACCATTTAAGAAATCATACTTTTTTTCTTCTATTATATCAGCACCCCCATTATCAAGATAATTATCACAGAAATTACAAGTTACTTCAATCATTAGCATATTTTCGAATGGATTATTCACTAATTCTAGGGTTACAGCGATAATGAATAATATTGTCCACAATATACGAATTATTTAGATAAAATATTTAAGCAATATATTCTAGATGCTTAAGTAATAGACTCAAATTATTC